TTTACACAGCAGAATCATACACATAATGACAGGTTAAGCAAAGGGAAATACAAATAATAGCTGTTGTACAAAATAGAAGACAAGTGAAGATTTTCTGAAGGGCTATATTGAATTCTAAGTGCTCACAAAGGGAAAATACCTCAAAATTATCTCAAAATATCTACACTGTAGTTTCAATTAAAACACAATATATCTGTAAAGCATTCATTGTTTGTGATGGACCTTTAAGGGCAACCTTCTCAAAGCACAAGAACCATCCATCCTGCCATGCAGGAGGCTGGGCAAGTGTGGCAGAGGCCAGCTTGGCTGAACAAGGAACTCCTGACAGAGTTCTGACAGAAAACATAAACATGGAAGACTGGAAAGGCAGCTACAGTGTCCAGGTGGAACACCAGGGGGGAAGTGATTAAGAAAGTCAAAGCTCAGATGCAATAAAACCAACCAGGGATGTGAAAAGCAATGAGAAAAGCTTTTATAGCTACAAGGACAGACAAGGGAAGACAAAGGAAAATGTAGGTCTGCAGCAGAGTGGAGCATGGAACTCAACATCAGAGAGGAGGCTGAGGTACTCTACACCACCTTCATCTCCACCTTTGCCACCCATCTCATGGGTGGTTCGGGCAACTCACTGTTGGCACTGCCAAGTCCCTGTTGAATCAACAAGCTGTGGGACATGGGGACATCACCAGTGCCTGCAAAAGGCAAGTAATATGCTCACCTTCAGAAGCACAAGGAAAGCCTGGTGACCAACACACTACCCAGCCACCGCTTCTGGTTTGAGGAAGATGACAGCACAACTCCTTCTGGAAGCCATTTCCAGGTACATAAAGGACAAGAAAATGACTGGAAACAGCCCCATTGGACTTATCAAGGGTAAATTGTGCCTTACCAACCCAACTGCCCTCTCTACTGAGATGACTGGCTCTGTGAATGAGGGGAAGGCAATGGATGTTGTTCACTGGGGCTTTGGCAAAGCCTTCAACAGTCACCCACAGCCATGGCATCTTCATCTATTGAGATACTCAACACTCAGTTGGAGAACAGTTGCAGCCTGAACTAACTCCTATGCTAACCCTGCTTTGAGCAGGATGTCAAACTCAATGACCTCCTTAGCCTCTCCCTCCAGCCTAAACCACTTTGTGATTCTACACTGTGTTTTGTTGTCACAGATAGTCTGACCAGAACTGTTATCAACAAAAACAGAAGAAGCAATCTGAAGAACTTCTAAACTTGTAAGTTAAAACTGCTAGTATCAGAAGAAACGAGCTTTATCAATAGACAGGCACCAGCAATAACTTTGAAGAATGACAAACAGGAAGAAACAAGTTAGTAATATTACAAAAAATATCTGGATTTAAACTTCAGCATTTACCAAAATACTAAAAAAAAAGTTAATGAAGCCACTTAGAGCACACAGGCCTTCAAACACTCTGAACTGGACAAACACGATACATGCTCTATGGAATATCTGCAGATGTATATCCTCAGTCTTTTCTGATTGCTCCTGGATTCTTAACAATAGTTACAATGTTTTTACAGTAAATTTCACAGATGAAATGAGTTTCAGTGTCTTTTCTCCTTTGAGGAAACTTCTTTTCACAAGCATCAAAATGTTGCAGAAAACTTAGGGATTTTTTTAGTATTTTTTTTTTAATAGGGAAAGAAAACAAAAACAAAACCAAAACAAAACAAAACAAACAAACAAACAAACAAAAAAAAAAACAAAAAAACAAAAAAACACCAACAAACACCAGTGTATTGTGAACTTTTCATGCTTGCCCTAGGCCTTCCTCAAGTGTCTGGCAAAAATTAATTCCCTAAACAAGAATCTTTATGCCCCTAAAGTTTACAAGGTTCTGCTCTAGCAGATAACATAAGGAAAAAAAACAATTCTCAAAAGATCTAATTCCAATTACTCCTCCCCCTACTGTGCATGTCTGAACAAGTGAATTGACTGAAGTACAGATGATGCTACAGAAAAGAAAATGTCTCCTTCAGCTACATAAGCTTCAGTTTTCTTTTTTTTTTATATTGAAGCGTTACTATTTAGATTAGTATCCATCATACATACAATCCCAGTTAATTTTCTTATTTCATAACTTTTTTTAAAGGAAGATGCCTAGAAGATAAAAGGATTTATAGACCTTATAGCACCAGATGGGATATAACCAACTGCTTAGACCAACACGTAGCATTAGAATAGTATCCTAGGAAATTATTTTGCTCACTTTCTAAAATTATAAAGCAATACAAGAAATTAGTCCTACTTCTCTAGAAGCTCAGAAAGGCTATTTGTGCTATGTCTTTTCTATTTGGAATGCAAGTTTAATATTCCAAACCAGCAAAAAGAACTTAACAGTTCCATCTTCATAAACTAATGAATTTACATAGACATAGTCTTTGGGACAATTGGCCACCCTAGAAAAGCATTTTATTGCAGTTAGTTATTCTCAGGTAAAATGTACAAACCAAACAAATATCCTAAGAAGAACCAACCATACACAGGTTTGTAGAAACTCCTAAAGCAGAAAGGCCCCCAGTCTCTGGGACACCTGGTGGACTGCGACCTTTGCTGGGGGAAGGAACAGAAGTTTGCATCTATAACCACTTCCCCCTAACACAGAAGGCACTCGATTTCAATAAAAGACAATTATGTCTTGCAATGCATTAATTTTTTGAGTATTTACACCACTTAATGCAGGGGTTTGACGATGTGTTACCACAACAAGACAACCTCATACCAAGGCTTGTAAGAACATATACATGAGGTTGTGACAGTAATAAACACGTGACCACCAGTTCATGACTAACCATACAATGTCTATCAGGGGACCTTACTCTTATTTGTCCATAGCTACTCCTTGTATCAAAACTTTAAAAGAGAGCCTGTTAAAACTTATTTAAAATATAAACGAAATACAAAAGATGGATTACATTTTAAAAAAAGCAGAGTATTTACAATCTTCTGAGAACATGTAACATCTAGTTCCTCAAAATCAAATCTAGCAGAATAAAATGATTCAACTACAGGTGTTTTAACTGTGCCAAACACTTTCACAATAGCCTCTTCCCCTCCTATTAAACAATAACATTAATAATAATAGCAAAGCAAGACTGCTGTCTGCTTTGAGCATTGTCTAGTAATCAGAAGAACACAGGTATTTGTGCTTACACACAGAAAGAGGAAATAAATTAAAGAAGATTGTGGCAAATAAATCCCAGATAATATTTGTCAGTAAAAATTATTAGGGTAGCATATACTACTTCTGCTGCTGTTCCATATCCATATAGAGAATTAAGATGCATACACGTGCGTACGCCATTAACCAAAGGATTATGTGTAAATGAGTCAAGTTCCTGTAATTTTTTAAAGTCTGAAAAAAGTTTCACAGCTTTTTGCTGTGAAATAAAGATCTTTACATATGATTCAGTAACAACGCCAGCTCTGAATTCAACACTTCACTCTAAGAGAAGTGCTTGCAGAAACTCATCCTAAACCTGACAATGACATTTTCATCATGATCATTTTCTTGGAACTGTGACATACACATAACAGTTCCTTTTCTGCTTTTTGTTTATTTAGAAAGGCCACAAAAATATTCCAGCTTTGTTATTAGAAGAGTTACTCCATTTCATATTTTATTTCTCACATCTGCCCACTGAAAACCTGAAATACCATTTCCACTCCTTGGCATTATTCAGTCATTCCAAAGCAAGAAATTAATCTCTTACAGATATTCTCCCTGTAAATTCAAATACAACCAGTGAAGAGCAGCAGGCCTTCAGTACAATCTTTGGGAAGTCAAAAAAAGGAAAATAGAAGAAAGCAATTAGAATTTTTATCCTTCTAATACAACTTCTAGAAAGCATTTGCCCTCTAGTTCGGATCACCTCCATAGCAGCTGAAATACACACTTGAGGACAGATTTTCATTAGAATATTTGGACGTTGTTAGTCTGAAGTCTGTTTCAAGCAGCCACCACAGAGTAGATTTCCAAATGCACTGAAAATTTAAGCCTTGGATTTATGAAAAAGTTCATGCACAGAAATATCTCAAGACAACTATTCCTGTTCTTCACAAGACTTCAGGCAGATGTGTTGCATACTCACTAATCATGAAACAATCATCAGCCAATTTAAAATAAATAGTTAAGTATATTGTAGCAAAAGTTTTCCAATAAAGCAAAGTGCATGAGAAGAACGTTTTGAAGTAGTTATTCCTCCACCACACTGGAACTCAACATGCTTATGACTGCATGATAAATTAAGCCAGCTACTGGCAATAGACAGATTGGTGAGCCACAGCTCTATGGTGAACAGTGGTATTTCCAAGTGATGTTAATATTCTCCAGCGATACAATGTGACATTTTAGGCACCTGCTTTCCTTGTACAATTCCTATGGTGCAGCTAATTATGGCTCCCAGACAGCCAGCAAGAAAGTGTTAATGACATAGATCACTTTAAAAAAAAAAAAAAAAAAGCAGCTGTTTAAACTGAAATTCTTAAATTCCTTCATAAAAAAGCCATACCCTGACATGAGCCACTCTGGATGACTTGAAATAATAGTACAAGTGTCTAAGTGAACTTCATGAGTCCTGTCAGCAATTCAGAGCTCATCTTGAAAGCCACAGCACCATTAAGGCACCTACCACATTCTAACACAACATGAATGCAGACATGGCCATTCAAGTCTTCATTTCAACATGTTTTTCAGTATCACACCTGTTTGTTGTGCATCAACCAGCAGGCAAGCTTTTAAGAGAGTAAAAATATTTTCTAATAAATTTTATATTTCAACCTCATCACCATTTGAGTTGGTAAATTACAAACCAGAGGATGATAACTATCAGTGACCAAAAACTAAATAATACTAGAAACATTCATCAAATTTCCTGCCACAGAACAGAACCAACTATGAGATGAGAAACAGAGAAAAGAGGAAAGAACTGGGAGAAAGAAGACATAAGAATATGTATAATATTTTGTACCCATGACTTACCAGAAATAGGGTTCTGAAGTTACTCAGGTCTCCAAAGAATTCTTCTATGCTTATTGCTTTGGGATCAAAGGTAAAGTATTCTCCCAAATTTTCATACAGTTTAGTCATGTTGTTGTGCATGTTGGACAATTTTTCATATTGCTCTCGGGCACTCTCAGCAAAGCTGTAAGGTTTTGTTAAGGAAAATGATTCAAACGTCATCGAACTGAAGAGTAAAAATAAAAGTTAACAAAAACTCAGTACAGAGGTTAGAACTGGAAGACTTGTTAGTGCTTCCAAATATGACATTTTCATGTATTAATGTTTACATGTCTGCAAGTTCTTACCAACACAAGGTGGTGACACACTTTTCCATTAAATGATCCCTTTCCAACAATGAAGACTTACTATTAATAGGTTATACAAATGGCTTCATAAAATGTCCAGATAACTTTTGACTATTTTTGTTTTTTTTTTTTTAAATGAGTAATTTTGTAAAATACATTCTATGAAAAGACATACCGAAAATCAGTTTGCTGTGAGAATCTGATTACAATGTCCCACTGCTCAAGCAGTGTCATGTCCCCCGAATTATGTACATATATTTTTACGTGTAAAATTTGCACTGTGCATAACTATCAATAACAAAATCATATAGTATGATGTCCAATTTTCTTTGCCTTTTATTACAGATTTCACCTTTGTAGATTCTTTAACGCCTAGCCACACAGCTCAGCTCATGCCTCAGGATCCCTGTACAAGATACACTTATTTGGGGCATAATCTCAACTATGCCATTTCACAAAACTCATAAAAATGGAATATCCATCCACTTGCCCCAGTTAACTGACAAACAGACTTGAAAAATTACTAATAAGAAAAACCCCATGGAACAACAAATGTCTTAGTTTTCCCATTAGAAACTAGAACTGAAACAGAGATTAACTTCCATCCCAGCAGTCATCATAAACAGTTTGGCACAATTCCTTCAAATAGGAAAATACCACTTTTTTCCATATATGAAAAACAAAATATTTTTAGAACAATACACTTGCAAACACAGGAAGAGTGCAGACTACTCAGAGAAATATTAGTTTGCCTTGAAGGAAGTAAGTCCCAGTCTGCTCTTCTCTTCTGTGGTCTTTTTTATAGGCACAAAGACATGGAGTCACAAATCACTGTAAGAAAACCCCAGCTAGTACATGATTAAACTAGTTCTGCTGATACTGATTTGTAGCTGATGAAAGTGTTGTGCTGTACATATCAAAACCCAAGAACAAAAGACACAAGTTATTCCCTGAACTACAAAAATCATGTAGCCTGGCTCCCTGTGGCTTTTACTTGTAACAACTCTTTTCCATGTGGATTCTGATTCTTAATACCGCAGAGCTCATGCTTCAACCTTTCTTCATACTTGAGACTCTAATTTGAGACTCTGTCTAGTATCACATTTCTAATTAATATTTTTGAGATCTCTATCTCTCTGTAAAATAACAAACAACCTGGAAACTAATTAGGGGAAAGAGATACAGAGAAACTGTATAAATCATTTATTTTTGAGATGAAACTAAACCCAAAAAATTATTCTTCAGAAAACAGTCAACAAATTGCAGAATAAAAAAAGGAAATTCAGGTGTACATGCTCTTCAGAGCATTTCCATAGTGTTTGTAGAATTACAAGGCTGTCATTTCACAAGCTACAGGCAAGTGTAACAAAGCTGAAAGGATTTTCCATTGTAAAGAAGCCTAATATTTCACCTGGATTTTCCTGCTCTAACTAATGGAAGGGTACCTAAATACAGAATTTAAAAATTGCTTCTTGAAAGTATGATTGAAAGCTTTATACAATATAAATTTTCCTCCTAAGAAACTTATTTTCCAAGCAATGCTCTCTTCATTGAAGCCTCAGCAGCATAAAAGGAAAGCTGTATTCTTTTGTTACCTTATAATGTTCATTTAGAATGTTAAAAAGTAGAAATCAACAATGTGACAAATCTTAACATATACATGTCAAGATTTTGCAACAGTAATATAAACCAATACATAGTTTCACAGCAGTGCAAACACAGTAGTAATACCTATATTTTCAGTTAAATGAAATAAAATTTAACCTGCTTGGTTAGAATTTCAAGCTTGGACAGTTAAATTGTTCATCATAATACAAGAGAAACTTGGTATAGGTCAGTCCTCAATGACATTTAACTGTACAAAAGGAAATGAAAGTTTAATGGCAAGAATACATTAAATAGGTAATAATGGCACATTAATGAATTATTGAGCAGTGTCTAAAAATTTTAGAAAAACATGAATTGCCTTAGAGTCAGCAGACTACTGTCTTGAACAACTCACCAAAAGCACTAGGAAAAAGAAGTATGAAGGTACACAATGATAGAAACTTTATTTGTGGTTCCTTTAAAAACAACCTCCTATAATAAAAACCCAAACGAATATACTACAAACAATTGAAAAATCTGAAAGAAAAAACCCTGTAACATTCCAGATTTTAAACTAACTATATAAGATATTTTAAAGTCACACTGTAGAAACATATAATTTCAATATATTATTTTTTATCTAATAGGTACTAAACTGCAATTAAGAAATACCATTCACAGATAACCTATAAGACAAAAGAATGTTGGTAAGATGGATGAATATGAAGAGCAAAGAGACAATGGAGTATCTTAACTACACTTAATTTTGAAGAACCCAAGTCAGTGCTATACAGCTAACAGTTCCCAGTCATATACCATGTCATATTACAAAGTTGCTCTGTCACAATTTATATGCTTCATAGAATCTTCACACTTATAAAATATTAGTAACTTCAAAAATCACCTTGAAACGTACTGCTTCAAGTCATTGCAAAGACTTGGTCAACACATTTATTCCAGAAGTAAAGCCATACTTGCCACATTATTCATGAAAAAACATCACTGAAAAATCTATCAAAACTTTGCATAATAGAAACACTTAATTACAACAGTTTTCATTAATATAGATTGAAGCTTTAATGAGTGCTCATTTAAAAACGGTAAACAAGATTTCATTCTTACTATTCTGAACCAAACAAAAAACACAGAACTATCAAGTGGAAAGGTACTTGTTCAAATAAAAGAAATTACTTTATTCATGAGCTTGGTTTGTGTTTCATTTTAATTCTTCTAGTTTCTTTCAGAACCATAAGAAAATTATAAGCCAAGACTACACTGAAAATACTATTATTTGAAAAATGTAAAAAAAAAAAAAAAAACAAACATGTTGGAAACATTTTCCATCTTCAGCACTGCCCTGGTTTCAGCTGGATAAAGTTAATTTTCTTCCTACTAGCCCATACAGTGCTGTGTTTTGGATTTAGGATGAGAATCCTGTTGATGACACAGGGATGTTTTAGTTGTTGCTCAGCAGGGTTTACACAGAGCCAAAGACTTTTCAGCTTCTCATACTGTGCCCTGCCAGTGGAGGCTGGGGGTGCTCAGGGAGCTGGGATGAGACACAGCCAGGACAGCTGACCCCAGCTGACCAGAGGGATATTCTGGACCACATGACATTATGGCCAGTCTATAAAATGAGGACATTTATCCAGGGGACATCACAGTTCAAGAACTGTTTGGGAACCAGTGCATGGTGAGCAACTGTATTGTGCGACTCTTTGTATATTCTATTATTTTCCCTTCCTTTTCTGCTTTATTAAACTGTCTTTATCTTAACTCACACATTTTAGTCTCACCCTCCCCAGTTCTCTCTCCAATCCCATTGCTGGGGGGCAAGTGGGCGAGGGGCAGCATGGTGTTTATTGCCAGCTGGGGTTAAGCCACAGCAAGTACTATACCTGTGTTCCCAGGTTCCACATAAACCAAGAAAAATGTGGTTTTAAAACTGAATATATGGAGAGTTATTGCTTTTTGAAGACTAGAAAACACACCACTGACTGCAAAGACAACAGAACCACATCTAATCACCGTCTAGGCAACTTTGTACATACAACATTCCCTGAAGTTTTTAAACACTTATTTTAGTGGTTACAAGGCAAAAGAAAGTTTATGTCCTTTAATCCACTTCCTTTTTTCATTTTAATATTACTGCAGAAGGCAACTACATAGAACTACTCTGAGACTAAGTGTCAAGTTTGAATGTTTGAAGAAGTGTTATTTCAGTTCAAAATTTACAGGTGTCTTCTGAAAGTGCTGTCTTACCACTGGCTTTAACACATCACCCTGAGATTAATTAATAAATAAATTGCTTTTCAGTAACTCGTTCCAAAATGTTAATAGTACAGACTTCACTGTGCAATCCAGTAAATGCCTCTGCATGCCATTTCTCCAAAGAACTCTAAAGAAAATTAAAATGCAAACAAATAATAAAAGAAAACTTAATGTCTTTTAAATTACAAAGATACAGGTTAATGTAGACCATTAACTTCCATTATCCTTATTGCTTTATTAACTTTTCTTGCCAAATTTCATTTATCTGCTAATGCTGTTTTTTTGTGTCTCTTGTCACTGCTAAAAGAGAGGCTGGGAAACCTCCACTCCCTTTCTTTCTTTGTCTTTAATTTTTTTTTTTTTTTAAGGATTTTGTTTCTGTGTTTGCATTATAGCTGCCAACTTCATAGAAATCCCACCCAGTTCCATGGTTTGCTTGACAGCTGGTGACCAACACTAGGAAGGGGGAAAAAAGTGTTTAGATACCCAGATGGATAAGGATTTCTGCAGTGAGAGTATTTAGTGGAGTGTCAGTGCCAAAATACAGTTAAATGGCAGTACAGCAGCATACAGCCAGCTGTAACAACTGAAGATACCTTCTCTGTAAGGAGATAAATGATTTTTGACACTTTGAAATAGGACCAGATGACTACAACTCACTGGCATTTCAGTGCAATGTCTAAATTAATTCACTTAATTAAGCAAGCTGTGGATACAAATGTTATCATGACACAATGCTACCACACTATGTCAGAGATAAAAAATCCCTAATTGCCATCAAGAGTAGAATTCAATTCTTTATGTCTGTATTAGGATCACTACCATGGCACTTCCATGCTTTTTACTGCTTTATTCCATGTAAACAGGTGAAGAAAAAAAAAGATCAGAGAAATCAAGGTTAAAGCCCTCAAATTGAAGGTGGAGTCATCACTTCCACCAAAACATCTGCATGAATTTCACATTAATATATCATTGACTCGA